CCACACCCCCCCCCCCCCAATGAATTAATCAGCTTTGATTATACATTTATGAAACTTTTTTCGTTATATTGTTAATGTGGTCCAACTTTGAAGCTAAAAGAACTCCTAATGACTCAGGGATTTGATTATTTGCCCCCAATATAGCGAACCATAAATGTCGTACGTTGTTAGTCAATCTCGGTTATGCAACATATTGGCATATTCCATGTAACCCGCTGACGAAAACGGAATGAATTAAGGGCATGCCATATTGGCATATTCCAGTCTTGAATATGTCAAATTGTAGCAACATTTTACGCACAATATAGCTTAGGATTAAGAAACAATTGAGATGCACGGATGGATGCACGCATAATGTAATATGAGTTCACTGACAGGGGTATTTTGGTCGTAAGCGAATTTTGTAAATACTAGATTCGTTCGGTGCTCTGCCTCCGCCGAAAGGTCATCACATAAGACTAATACACGAATTCTGCAGTAGAATAAAATGTGTATATAAATATAATATATTTCTAAACGCAACCTATAAGTTTGTACTATGTTCTGTCAGGTTACGCTTCGTATTGTATACTTGGCCATGTCTTGAGTTCTCGGGGGATATTATTGCCCTGTCATGACACGTGTCAATTCAAGTGTGCGGTGGCTTGTCGAGGGTCTCAACCTCCGCCACGTCACCTCGATCTCTCTCCATCCCCGCTGTTTCATAGAACAGTAGATTATCTGAGCAGCAGCAAGGGCTGCTCATCACACACACACGAAGGTCTGTTGATGTTTCATGTTTAATATGTACAAGGATTGAATGAAGAGTGATGGGAAACATGAAATTACGAAGGAGCCCATTATAGCTAAATTAGACATTTTTCTGTTAAAGGGTATTTTTAATATATATATATATATTCCGCATTGTATTGTAGATGATGATTTAGCCTTGGTGACTATTGGTGCGGGGCTTTCCAAATCTTGAAAGACAGCAATGCTCGTGTGGACCAAACATACTTAATACTTATGGTTCCATTCCAAGCTCTTTTGGAAACTTCGATTTATCATTGGTTCGAGAGTGTCTCTTGTTTGAATTGAATTGTTTATGTTCGATCTTTGTTTTTTATAATTCGAAAATTAACCGGATTTTTGGTTCAATTATATTTCATGGAGAATCAGATAAGGTCGGATAAATATCCCTTTCCATGTTTAAATTTAAACTCGGGTAATAGCATGATTTGTGAAATCATCTCATGGAATCATCACTCTTCTCTAAGTTTTGTGTTTGATATTATGAAATCATGGGCATCTTTCTACAAGACAAAAACACTGAACCTTTTTTTATTTTATTTTAAACGAGAACCTTGGAGATTCATTTTGTCCATGATCTCGATGCGCATTGAAAATGAATGCAAGCATGTTTTATTTATTCAAAGTGGAAATTTCCACGTCACATGGCAACTCCGACGGTCCAAAATTATTGTTCCCCTCCATATTATGCTCAAACTATTAATTACTCCATCAGCAACAAACAAAGGCAATTTAACAGCCATTCTGCACTAATTTCACGGATTAAATCCCAAAAAGTAACCCATATGCAATTCCAAATCGAATGAATACCCCAAAGTTAAGAGATTCAAAGTAATCCAAAATTATTCAAAAGTTACACACTAAAACCATAAAACAACAACAAAACCAAAGAAGAATGAAGAGAGATCATTTGAAAGGCTTTTTTCTTTAAAATAAGAACTCAGACCCATTGTTGCCTTGTAACCTCCATCCTCTTCAACAATCCGGCGATCTCAGCCTCCATTCTCAGCTTCATGTTCTTATAATCACAGTGGGAATTCTCCAGCGCCTTTAGCTCTTCCAATCTCTTCCGCCGCCTCTCCTCTGTCTCCTGCAGACAAAGCCTCGACAGCTTCTCCGCGTATTCCTCCTCCATCTTCTCTGTCTTCATCTCTATCATCCTCTTGAAACTCTCTGCCTCTCTCCTTGCTTCATCCGATTTCTTCTGGAACATTCTCGATTCCGCCTCCTTTATCCTCACCATGCTCTCAATGCTGTCGAATCCGCTTCCCGTCACATCAGTTAAGACAGAACTCTTCTGTTCCTTGGCTGCGTATGCAGATGTGGATGGCGTCACTGATGCCTCGTCCTTTCTGTAGCTGGTTTCCGGGGCAGTTATCTCTTTCGAGGTTAGCCCAGACGCCGGAAACTCCGATACTGACTCTGCGTCTGTGCAAAATGGAGGAAAGAAACATGTTAGACCCCAATGAGAACATAAACGAACAAGTTCTGGCATTGCGAACAAGAAGCATAAAAATTTCTGCAATTTGTGATCAAATAGACAGAGAGAGAGAGCTATCTTCGGATTAAAGTTTCCAAATTTCACCTGGTCTGTGTGAATTACCCATCAATTCAGGTTAGATGGAGAGAAGAGAATCCGGAATGTTAGGTTTTATATAGTCTTCACTTTCTCAGGACCAAAGTTTCAACCTTTCAACCGTTCTTTGAACTACCCATTACCCAGATAGAGAAGAATCCCAAATGGTAGGTTCATACGAATTTGCATCATTTAGGTCAAAAGTTTCTAACTTTCACCTCGTCCGTGAACCATCCCATCAGCACAGACCAGGTAAGAATAGAATCCAAAATGTTAGGTTTTCAATTCTGATTGACAAATCAAACTCTGAACCGCAATCGCAAGTGTTGTATGTAATATGCTTATAATTACATGCCAACTTCAATCAACAAGGAGAAACATAACCAAAAAAAAAAAGAAGAGTCGAAAAACTTACGGTTGAAGAACTGAATGATGAAGTTACATGCATCTGGAGGCGAAATCCGCTTGCTTTCTAACTTGGTTACCATCTCATCGGCTTTACGGTACAATTCTTTCCCTTTGGGGTCGTCACTGCCCCTGAAGATCTTCCTCACACAATCAAGCTCCTTGACCAGCGTCTCATTGCCCCAGTTCTTTGCACAACACACGAAAACATCCTTAACAAATCCAAACATCTCGGAGACGTGACCACAGCCGATGCAATGGAATAACATCTCAGTGGTGCCACGAGGACCTTTCAAGCTCAGCCCAGGTTTGATCAGATTCTTCTGAATTCCACACGCAGCATGACACCAGTGGGAACAGACGTCACACCCAACCCAACTACACGTATTACTGGCTGAATCAAACTTCAGACAAACCGGGCACATACACGAGCTACAGAAGCCTTTGTTGTTCGAGCAGATCTTGCATTCACAATCATCGACGGGCAAAAGGCTCTTACAGTTCACATTCCTACACCTCATGAACAGAAAGATTTCTACAAGTTCGTTCATGGGGATTCGAATTTTACCGGAAAGGAAGTACTTCAACCCTGTTCTGACAGCGACAAGAATGTCTAGTTGATCCTTGACGCATTTCGAAAGCGTCTCTTTGGTAAGATCGGATCTTTTGTCGAGCTGGTTCTGAAGGCTCGTCAGCTTCTCCTTCTTCTCCAGCGAATCGATCAAGTTCCTCAAGTGCTCTTTCGCGGACTCTAGGGTTTCATCCGCCATTCCCTGAATCATCAACGCCACAGAAGAAATAGACTCCGATACGATATCGTAGAGGACCCTCTCCGATCTTACAGCATCGTTTCCTTCCGAACTCGGCAGCTTCTCGGAATCTTTCTTTCTCGAGTCGCCGGAATGCGTGACTTCCACGCGGGGCCGAGCCGGCAACTCCGAGGGGAAGAAGGAGTAATCGGAGCTTGTGGGTTTGCAGAAACTGAGGTTGTTCGCAAGACCAACGCCCTCGCCGATCGGTCTGAATCGGCTGTGAACCGATCCATTGGTCCCTTCACCGGCACACCAAATTTGATCGTCTCTTCCTATGGAGCAATCGAAATCTGTGGAATTCCGCGTCATAGAGCAACTAGGGTTGTGGGAAAACGGGTGCGAGTATGAGCACGACATGGACGGAGCTGCTGTGAAATCGTTCGAGAAGGTCGTCATCGTTCGCTCGCTGATTGTCGGCTTCGGCTTCTTCACGGCGTTCGACGCCGTCAGAGACAGAGAAACATCCGGCAGAGCCAGGGAGAGATTTAGGGTTTCGATCTTACTCTTCTTTTTCTCGTCCAATGGTTCTTCTTCCTCCTGAACCTTCCGTTTCGAAGAATTCGGACCCATTTCGCCCAAATTCAAGAAATCTCTCTCGACCCATTTATCGTCATGGCTCGAATTCTCGGAGACCGCGACCTCTTTCCCCTTTTGACCTAAACTTTCCGTGATTTTCCCGGAAAGCTCCCGGTTTTCGCAGAGATAGCTGAGGGTGAGCTCGTTTCCTGGTCGGGTGAACTTAGAAGAAAGCCCATCGAGATGATTAGATCGGACGCTGAGAAAATCGATACCTTTCTGAAATAGACCGATTTTCTCATCTGGGTTGTCGCTGTTAAGCTGGGAGAAGCGGGGTTTCGAAGGCTTGGTCCGGGAGCTCTCTCCATCGCCGGCGAGATCTCTCTCTCCTATCATGGCGTTATAGAGAGAGAAGAAGGAAGAGAAGAGAGAGAGAGAGAGGGTCGAAGAGTGAATTTACTGAAGCGGAGATGGTGGAAAGGTGGGAAAAGTTGTGGCCACAATGGCAATATCGAAATTCCGTGGGCAACAAGGGGTGGTTTCTGTATCGGTTTGTAGAACAAGTGTCCGAAGTAACGGCTGTATTTTTCAATGGTTACTTGCGCACGACTCGCTAGACGCCGTTTGTCTTGCTTCGATAAGGAACATGCCGCTTTTAAAAACAAATAATAACTTCAGTTTTTTAATGACTTAATTAAATAACAAACATTACTAATTATGCGAGTACGAATTTAATGTCATGAAATGAGATTAGATGATGTTGCTATGATAATTCCACGATTATCTAAGGGCAAACCATTTTTACTGCACCTCCTAGTGAACAAACTTCTTTTTGTTTGAAAAATGGAAATATATTAAATTCAAAATAATGAAATAAATTAAATATAAAATCATGTGAATTATTATCGACGGCGAGGAAAAGGAAAGTCAACACGTTACGCGTTCACATCCGCCGTGTCATTTTCATTTTCATACAATTTATAATTTTTTATAATCTGTCGTAATAAATTTGTATATAGATCCGTTGACTTTTATATCAATGTGTCCCTATATATCCATTTAAGCGTGTGGTTCCCTGTATCTGTATGGATGATTATACGTTGATAGATATATATTCACGTGGGGAAATTATTATGGTTGACTTGAATTGACTCAATATGATCCAATGAGGCCCATTTCGAAACTATTGAAACCAGATTGACCACAAACAGCGCCAAAATTCTACTTGCAGAGTAATCCACGTAAAGCCCATAAAAAATAAATATGGGCCTTAAAGGCCCAATAGCGAGCGTAAGAGCCCAAATATTTTGCCTCATCTCCTGTGTAGTTATCTATCTAATTATGGTATGACATGGTTATAAAAAAATTTAGACTTCGGAAATTATAGAGTAACAATATTTAATATCCAAATGATGGGAAGTTTAATTACGGACAAAAATGTTAATTCCGAACAGAACCTATGTTTTTTGTCAATCATCTTTTTTTTTTTTTTGTGCATTTCAATAAAGTTTCGGGCGCACCGCCACTAAATAAAGTTTCAACAACTACCAAGAAAACGAAACAAAAGAAATGGTGGAGAGGAGACACGGTGATGGAAAGGTTTTCTTAAAATGTGTAAAGATGTTTTGTCTCATTCCTCTCTTATTTATTCCTAAAACAAAAGTTCATTTGTATTATATCATTTATTTAAAATATGGCGTATCCATCCATATGAAATATTCCATTGGATTTGTAATTGACCAATACAACAAATTATTTATGTTGTTAATGTATACATTATGTTTGTTTTGCTTTTTTTGACAAATGGGTGAGCACTTGTGAGTTGTGACCAATGGAAGGGAGGAGGAGCCGCAATCTTTGCGTTCAAGTGGGCCCACTAAACGCACTTAAGTGAATCAACAGTTGGGCCTAGCCCTTCTTAGAAGTAAAAACCAAAGTCCAGCACATTTTATTGTTCAGTTGAAACAAGAAATTCCAAGATTTCCTAAATGTTTGATTTCTATTAAACTAAATTACAAAAATATCCACTCGATATATCAATTAATATAGTGAGAGAAGAACATGAGCACATAAGAGATGGCATGAGCAAAGACGAAAACATTGAATAAAATAAACAGTTTAGCTAAAGAAATAGAGAATTATATATATATAGTTCATAACTGAATTGCTTGGACGAGAGTAATATTAGGATGGGTGATCTCCTGAGAAGTACTCGTGTTGCACTCCTTTTTCTTTTTATACCAAAAAAATAGTTTATAACCGAAATGTACAACGCTTGTAAAAAAAAAGGATATTAACTATACAATCATTTCAAATCGAGATGAAAGCAACCCGAGGGCCATCTACCTCATAGAATTAAAAAAATTGGAATCATATCTTTTGCTAAAGATATTGTTCCTAATAATTAAGGTCACCAACAAGATTAGTGGTAATAATTGAGGATTAATTTAAAATAAAGTCAACATTGAACCAAAGCTTATTCTATGAAAACAAAAATTATACCGTGGCACCTAAAGTTAATATTTATAGCTGGCCATCCCTTTTTAAATATAATAAAACAAATTACGGTTACAAGATAATCTAAAAGGCTCAACCACCAATTTTAATGATTTTAATTTCATGGGAAATATGAAAACTAAAAGAAAAACACCGTTCGTATTATATATACACCTCACTCAATAAAAGGACATCTTTCCCAATACAATATCCAATATATTTTTGTTAATATATAGTTTACAAGTACCTCACATGGCGACCGAGAACGCTGACCATTTATTTTGTTCTTTAAATTTAACATGTATAACGTATTTTGACTTTGTTCATATCATATCCCCCTTGTATTAAATTAAGACTAGAATATATTTAACCTACGCTTTAACATAAAAATGTACAGATAAGAATAAAACCCTAAAGATTATATAGGTACGAGTTACAGTAGAATTTATGAATAAAGAAATAGTAAAAAAAAAAAAACGTCAAAGGGTTTCAGATGGTCACATGGCACCGGTGCATGCAACAATCGAGGGACCATACGGACACATGCCTCAACATCTGTCCCAGTCGGTCGATCTCACTCGCAGTTTTTTAATGAGTTCCAAATAAACGTACAATATTTTTGGACTAGCATAATTTTAGCAACATACATACATATATGTGTGTGTGAAAATAAATTCAACATGAATATAAGTTCTTTTCCTCATTTCCGCTAATAATTTGTTCACACACCATTATATCAGCATTATAAAACCATTGAAAATAACGTCATAATGGTTTTATAGTGTTGATAAAATTATGTGGAAATATTATTAGTGGGCATGATAAAAACATTATATTCATCTTGAATTTGTTTTATCTTTATTGGATATATATATATATATATATGTATGTGTATTTGAAGGTAATGAGAGACACATATTTCATTAGTTTAGAGTATAAGACAATTGTGATGTGTGGTCAACCTATCTAATTTTATCCGTGTCATAACCATTGTTCCTCTATGTTGTCTACATATCGTTATTAAAATGAGTTGATTTGAAAAACAATAAAATCAGTATTGTACTCTTTTTTATTGCATGCACCATAAATTCATCATCTCATAACAGAAAAGTCTTATCCCAAACATATTTTTATGTTTTTAAAAATTTACGTGATCGTATATAGTTTTCATTAATTCACATGGTTAGATGATATTATTATTATTACTACTACGGAGATGGTTGCAATTGTAGAAAAAATAAATAAGACAAATATAAAAAGAAACAGAATTACTTTATTGTTACCTCTCTTTTTCTTGTTGTTGTATTATAATAAAAATGACTCATATATTTATAGGAAAACTATCAAATAAAAAAAAATAGAAATAGATAAGATCGATACACAATATTTGATATAATATTATGTGTATTATTATTTATGATCATATTTTAAAATCAATATTTCCTTTTTCACATATTTATTTTTATATTTCAACAACAATATTATAACAATGAAGAAGTCCTACAATAGTTAGAGGAGATAAATAAATAATCAATAGAGTCTTGGAGCATAGAGCAGACATGCATAAACCATTGTTTTAAAGAAAATGGTTTGTGCCGCTGATCAAAACATCGGGACAACGCCGGAGTCTATGACGCAATAATCCATTAATGTATAAACAAATACATAAATAAATTTACAAGAGGACGTTGTTAAGGGCGAGGTGGGTATGTCCCGTTTAGTTAGCCCCGTAACACACACAAAAATCACGAGCCAAATAAAGTTTTTGTATCTTATTCCATGCATGCACTGTATGCATAACCAAATGTTTTTTCAATAATAATAATAATAAGATGGGAGAAGGAGTCGAGTGGTTAGGAATGAAAATAAAGTTTTGCATTTTAGGTAGACCCAAAACGAAAATACACGCAATGGTCCCCATGCAATCTCCCACTTATTCCAACAATATATATCCCTTTTTTTTTTCCAGACCATACCCACACAAATATCATGTTTCTCTGTCACTACTTTTATCCCCATTTTTTTTTTATAACTATAGTAAACCAACATAGGTTCAATATATATATATATATATATATATATATATATATATATATGTATCTATGGGTGTATACCCGTAGTTATGGTTGGGTGGGTAAAATCTTGGAGGGTTTTGATGGTTGGACCCGTTAATCGAGTTCGTGTTGGGCTTTAAAACAAGGCCCACAAGATGGCATTTTCGTAATTACGAGCTCAATATGTGGGGCCTCAGGTAAATACATTCGGAGCGAGATCCGCGCTTTGTCGCCTTGTCACTGTCCCAAAGATATGCGATGGCGATTTTCGGACTCATTCTCCTCACCAATATTTTATCATTATCATATTCTGCTTTTTAGTCTAGGGTTAATATTATAGTGGAAAGGTGAGAAACGAAGAGAAAGTTCAACTAATACAATCAAGCTGGAGGTTGAAAAAGCGATTGTGCTCTTTGTTGTCTTCCTTGTTTTCAACATACTTATGAGCGACTTCCCAAATGGTTCTTTCCTTTGGAATTTTCCCAATGACCCTCGAACCGTAAGACCGCAACTATTGAAGAAGAAAAGGCCGCATGAGATCTTAGATTTTTCATCCTATAAACTGTTTTGGATCAGCGCGAAGGAAAAGTCGATAACTTTCCCCCTCTTCTCCAAAGTTGGACTCGAGTTGGAGAGAGAAAAGGCGAGAATGTAGCATTGGGTAAAAGATATCAAAGACCATAGCAGTTGATAGTGATGGAGAGAAGCGTATCCGGGAAAATCTATAAAATTCGATTCAATTTTTTACTTTTGGACGCACGAAATATTATAAAATTTCCAATAAAAAAAAGGTACAAATCGGGGGAGAGAGCTCGCAGTAAGAGAACAATAATGGGAATGGGCAATACTTGATCTGTGAGGAGAGAAGAGTTAGGGTGCAATACAATGTACAGTCCTCGCACAACTCATTACAGGTAAATAAATTATATTTCTTTCCATGTGGGTTTTCGAAATTTCTGTCCGTGTGCTTCGTTGTTATTTGGCTGTCGTGTTTCTCCCAGTCTGGGAGTGAGCCGTTCTTCTGATTAAGCTTCCAAGCTTCAACCTTTTCCTTTTTTTCTGTGTGGATTTGTTTAAGTTTCGATTTAATAATGGATTCCAGACAGTGAACATGGCTGTGTTCTTTTCCAGTTTGTGTCCCGACCAGAGCAACATTCACGCCTACAAAGAGCATGATTAGTGTAATTTTTAAGATTTTTCTGGCTTGATTAGAGGGTAAAAGAAAACAAATTTTGCATCTTTAGAAACCTTTGGAAACTGGGCTGGTTTGGTTTCTTCTTTTGAGAAACATGCGTTGAGATTTTTTTAAGTGGAAAAAAAGAAAAGAGATCTCCGGGTTTCTCTTCCTTTTTCCTTCTTGAGATGCAAAAACTCAGTCTTTTTCCTTTTTTGTGTTGAATAAGTTTCTATGGCTTCACCTTGCTTTTTGTATTGAATCACGCAAATCAATGTTCATGGTAATGCCAGTCATAATTTTCTCTTTGAGTTGAGCAAAACAGTACCTTTTCCTTTTTCTGGGTATGAGCAAAAGGTTCTCTGCTGAAATTTTTTACCAATCACTTCACCAGAAGATTCCTGTATATATACACTCCCGCCCACACGCGCATGCTTCAACATGAATGCATTTTCACGAACATGCGCTAAGATTCGTCTCTTTTGGCGATTGTTTTAGCTCAGATATGAATTGGGCATCCAACAATCCCCAAGAAAATCGGTAGAGAACCCAGAAGCACAGAAAGGCGATTCTTACGAGCTGGGTACCGCACAATCGCCGAGAAAATCAGTAGAGAAGCGAGAAGAGCCCAGAAAAAGCGATTCTTATGAACTGGGTATTCAACAATCATCAAAAAGAAGCGATTTTTGGCGGTCGGCCTTGATGGGTTTCGCTAAGATGCAGCAACAGCTGAGCCGCAAAAGCAGCCATCAGCTTCAGCATTCGGTGGCAGTGAAGGGAAACAACAGTAATGATCAAATCGGTACAAAAAGAGGGTCAACGTTCATTCAATCGAATCGGGCTTTGTTGCCGAAAGCTCTCATTCTGTGGATCATGGTGGTGGCGGTCATCAGCAAATGTATCTACACGTCAATGGACAATGATAACAAAGTCAGAAGAAGAGAGGTGCTGGTGAGTATGTGTGATCAACGGGCAAGGATGCTGCAGGATCAGTTCAGTGTCAGTGTCAACCATGTTCATGCTCTTGCAATTCTCGTCTCCACTTTTCATTATAGCAAAAGCCCATCTGCAATCGATCAGGTATTCGGCTAGAAGTTTCATTCCTTTTCTCGTTTTTTTGTTCTTTTTTGGGTTTGTTTGGTTACTGAGAAAATCAGGGAAAATTCTCAGATTTGGTTACCATTCCAGTTTGCTAGATCAATACATGAAAGTAGAACTTTTTCTTTTTTAACAACTAAAGGTTTCATCTGACATCCCTCGGGTCCGCATCCAAAGCGTTGATTCGTGTTTCCTTTTTCTCCCTCACTCCTGGGGTTGTTTGGTTACCCAGAAAATGAAGGAAAGTTCGGAGCTTTGGTTGCCACTAGAGTTTGCTATGACCCTAGCTGAGCTTAAAGCTCGTGTTTTCTTTTTTCTTCGCCGAAATTTCGAGTATCTTTTCTTTCCTCCGCTTAAATGTCTGGTTACGGAGAAAATCCTGCACAATTATCCGGAATTGAAAGTAAAAGCTCACATTTTGTTTTATGTTCTGATAAAAGGAGGAAAGAATTGCCATTTTGTTCCTGTCAAAATTTTGGTTTCTTTTCTCTTTTCTCTGGCTGGTCCTGGTCTGTTTAATTACTGAGAAAATCAGGGAAAGCTTGAAACTTTATTTTCCTTCTGAATTTGCTAGATCCATAGATGAAAGCAAAAGCTCACATTTTCTTTGTCCTGATCTGAAAGCTTTGATAGCAAGCCAAGCTATATAAGAAGAGACTTTCTAATGATTCTGGTGATACGAGTAAACGCAGGAGACGTTTGCAGAATATACAGCAAGAACAGCATTTGAGAGACCGTTGCTGAGCGGAGTGGCCTACGCAGAGAAAGTGGTGAATTCTGAGAGGGAGACATTCGAGCGGCAGCACAATTGGGTCATAAAGACAATGGACAGAGAGCCTTCGCCTGTCCGGGACGAGTATGCTCCCGTCATATTCTCTCAAGAGAGCGTCTCTTATCTTGAATCACTCGACATGATGTCAGGGGAGGTATATATAATGCCCACCTCTTTTTTTTCCCAATATTTTTCTGGTTCAACTCTGCAATCACGGCTTCTCAAAACACTGCATTCCGTTGCACTGTTTGTGTAGGAGGATCGGGAAAACATCTTGCGTGCAAGGGAAACAGGAAAAGCTGTCTTGACCAGCCCTTTCAGGTTGCTGGGTTCTCACCATCTCGGTGTTGTCTTAACGTTCCCTGTCTATAAATCTAAACTTCCTAAGAACCCAACCGTGGAAGATAAAGTTCTAAACTTTTGCTTAATATATTTTAGGTTTCTTCTTAACTTTCCTGCTGTAATTTCGAATTAAATGAGCTTTTGAGATTTCAAAATCGGATCTTTTATTCGATCACTAGCATGTTTTTCTTGGTTTCTGCACATTCCTGTGAAATGTGACATTGAAGATGAATGCAGGTACCTTGGTGGTGCATTTGACGTTGAGTCTCTTGTTGAGAACTTACTCGGCCAGCTTGCTGGGAACCAAGCAATACTTGTGAATGTGTACGATATCACCAATGTGTCAGATCCACTGGTAATGTACGGCAATCCAGACGAAGAAGGTGATACCTCTCTCTCGCACGAGAGCAAGCTCGATTTTGGAGATCCCTTCAGGAAGCATACAATGATTTGCAGGTAGGCACGTTAATGGATAGAACGTGCCTCAGAAATGATCTTAAAAACAATTTCAATGAATCTAAACAAATTCTTGCTCGAATGCAGATATCAACAGAAGGCGCCCACCTCGATAAGCGCCCTCACGACTGTGTTCTTGTTCTTTACGATCGGTTTACTGGTTGGTTATATACTGTATGGAGCGGCCATCCACATTGTCAAAGTAGAGGACGATTTTCACGAGATGCAAGAGCTGAAAGTCCGGGCAGAGGCTGCTGATGTTGCCAAGTCACAGTTTCTGGCCACTGTGTCTCACGAGATTAGAACACCCATGAATGGAATTCTCGGTACGCCTTGTGAATATTTCTACAACTATGCCGAAAATTCTAAATTTCTTTTTTCGGTTAATCTTTTTCTTAACACTTTTCATGGTTTTTGTATTCGATGTGTCTATGCAGGAAT